CCTAGGGGTTAAGAAGAATATTAAGGGTTGCTTTTCCAGTACTTTGTGAAGCCCCTCCTGAGCTTGATAGCATCCTAAAGTCCTTTTCCCCTTATCTTGAAATGCCATAAAACTTCTTAATCTGTACCAAAAAAAATTGCTTTTGTGTCTCTTATCCTGTGTTCCCTGTCCCCTAATCTTTAACCTGCGTTCCCTTGCCCTTTAACCTGTGTCCTTCTGCCCTGTCCTTAAATCTTTAACCCACCATAAAACCCTAAAAACCTTATCTTGGACCATAAAGAATTCATTTTGTATCCCTCATCCTATGCTATAAAATCCTTTTTTGTGCTGTCCTTAGTCTTCAACCCCCATAAAAAACCTCTAAAACTGCATCCATTCTGATACCTCTATATAAGCCTGGTTGCCCCAAATATTAGTGCCCTGATTAGCTTCTTGATAACAAGGTCCATGTTCTTTCGCATAATAAAGCTCCCATTGGCTACCAAGAACATCTCAGCGAATTCTTTCACATCCAGACCACTCTCCCAAATCTGACCTCAACAGGATGACCTTGTGAATTCCCCATATTGGAAGATTTGGGTCTTCCCAATGGGATAGATGACAGTGTCCCTGGAACAGCAGTGGCTAACAGGGAAGCAGAGACAAATTAAATATACTGTACCCCTACTAACTGCTAGCCAGCCTGGGCCATCTACACCCTCAGCATTAGGGAGGCAGGTCTATAGTCCTGAAGAGATTAGCATCAGGCTATACCATCCACTAATGCTTATAAATGGCAGATAGGTGACCAAGTCACAGAGAGCAAGGATTATTTAACCAGTGACCACAATAAATCCTAGGTAAAACTGGTGAAACCGCTGTACCTGTAGCCAGGCAACAATGCTAATGCTAATCCATGCTACAAATAGCTTACATGTAATTCTCATTTTAATTGCTATGTATTTAATATGCTCCTGTTTTGTTTTTTTCTGTTTATTTGCTTTGATTGGCATTGTGCATTTATTACTCGTTAACTCTGCTTAATTTCTTCTCCATGTGCATATAATCTGACTATTTTGTGTCACTCAAGTTATATTGCTTTGATTTTACTTGCTGCTTTTGTAGCATATGGATGTGCATGTACTGCTGAGACACGTCCACGTAATAGAATACGTAGTTTAAGAATATCCATTTGGTAGCTGTGTGGAGGATAGCTTCAGGGAAAGAGGGTGACTGCACGGAGACCAATTAGGAGGCTTCTCCAATAGAGAAGTGACAAGGGCCTGAACCAAATAGCGATTGCAGCATCAGAGGAGAGAAAGGGACAGAGAGAAGAGATGTCGTGGAGCTAGAATCAATAAAACTTGGCAACTGAAAGAAATGGAAGCTGAGTGAGCGTGAAGAGATGACAATGGCTTCTAGGTTGTGAATCTGGGTGACTGGAAGGATTTCCGGCTTCACTAGAAATAGGGAAGTTAGGAAGAGGGCTGATTTGGGGGAAAGGTGATGCATTCACTTTCAAATATGTTGAGTCCGAGATGCCTGTGGGACATCCAGATTCAAATTTCTAGTAAGCAGTTTAAGATGTGGGACTGGAGCTGGAAACAGAGATTTTGGAGTTATCTTCCTAGAGCCAATAATTGAGTCCATGGGAACTCATGAAATCACCAAGAAGGATTGTAAAGAGATTCCTGGGTCCACCCAGGCACAGGGGGCAACGTGGTGAGAGCAAGCATATTAACTGAGCATGAGTGACTCCATTTTGGATTAAGCCTCCATTTGGTGGCTGAGTTCATGGTACTGACTTGTTTTTCTGCTGGTTCTTTTTTGGTGACAAGATAAGCATCGGTGTGGTACAATCTGATAAACAACATATGTGTGTTCCTAAACAACTGATAAACACATGTGGACCTTCACATAGGACAGCCCACCAATGGGATACTATTGTAAACAAGTTGATCATTAGTTTATGTAATAAACTACCAATCAAACTACATGGCAAACAAATTAGGTAATAAACCACAAATCAGAACTTGGGTGTAACCAGTAATGCCGCTTGCTAGAACCATAAGAAACTCCTGAAGGCTCCAATCACGAGCTTGCTTCTGAGTCACTGTTAGGATAGACTCGTGCCTTCCTTGCGCTTGAGACTTGAGCCTTGAGCAGCCGGCATTTGCTCGAGAGCAGGGCTGATTGATGGAAAATTGTCAGAATGCTGCCTTGGAGGGAGACACCCAGCCCTGGCTGGGCAGACAGAAAACCTTGTGGGCACCGATGTGGGACACCAGGGTGAGGTAACACTTGTGAGGACCTTTAGGAATCAAGTCAGTGATTTATTCCCAGAGGTGTTGTGTTTGTATTGTTAAATAGGTCATTGCTCACTGTAGATGAATAAAGATTGATTGCATCCATTGACGAATGTAAGTCTGATTTAGCGTTTCCATCGCATTAATCCATATACATAATGGTAAATCAGTATGGCTCATGCTCCTGGGCGCACAGGACATGGATGACGATCCAGCAAAGAAGACTGAGAAATCAGACGAGTAGAATATGAACCAGGCAAGAGCAGTGTCCTGAAAACCAAGGGAGAGCATAGCCAGAAGGACAGAGTGGTCAACAGTGTCATAGACCACAGAAAGGTCAAGAAGAATGAGGACTATGAAAAACCCACTGGATTTAACAATATTCCTGATAACGAACATTTAAATGTGACATACATTATCTCTTCAAGAGGGGGCAATCAGGAAAGCCCTGAGAATATTGAGCAGCTCCCCAAACAACCCAAGAGATTGCAAGGAGTCAGCTACTGCAGATTTTTTATTCAAATGGAAGAATTCGCCCAATCAAATGGTGACTGTAAGCTAGGCCACAGTATGCAGGCCTGATAGGACACCTGGGACTCCAGATGTTTGGCTGTTGAAAGCTCAGCCACTTGTACTTTTGATCTATAAAATAAATTGGGTGCATTCTTATGAGGTCTCATGAGGGCTAGCTTTTCCCTTGAACCTTCTTCCTGAAGTGGGGGGAAGAGAAGGAGGGGAAAAGTTTGGTTTGTTTAGCAAATTCCGAAGCATGTTTACCTTTCAAGGGGAGTCACAACTATAGGGTGGGACTATGAATGGTGAGGAAACTGTGTGAGAACTCTCTGGGAAAGAAGGACTCAACAAAATGGCAGAAGGTTGCCGCCAGCTCAGGTCCTTTGAGGAGTGGGGCTGATGGGTTCTGTGAGTAAGCTTCGGGGTCCTTTGAGGCCTTGGTCTCACATCTTTCGTGGGATGAAATAAAGGCTGCCCCAAACCTAATAACTGAATGTAGAGTATCTATGTAGGCTTTGGGGAAGCTACCACCCAGAGTAAGAGAACCCTGAACATAAAACTATGCTCAAGTTTTTCTCTGGAGTTTTCCTCCATTAATTTAGGTGAAGGCAATGAGCTGAGCCGATGGAGAAGAAATTGACTCATTTCCACCATCCAACCCAGTCCTTTCAAGCCCAGAGTTCCAAGGGGCCATTGGTCATGGGTTACATCTCACCTATGCTTACAACAACCCTGTGACATGGTTACGGCAGGCATTATTATTCCCTTTTTTGCAGATGAGGGAATGGAGGTTCAGGGAGTAAGTAATTTGCCTGTGGTCACACAAATAGTAGGAGTCAGAGACACAATTCACACCTAGGTCTTCCGGAATCTGAATTCCAGAGCTCAGTCCTCTGCATATACTGCCCCTCTCCATTGAGTTTGCTTTTGACTTTGCAGTTGAGGAGTGTCAGCCAAGTGTTGGGTTCCATGAGGTTGGGGAGTCGGAACCCTCTTTCCAAAGGACAAGAGACTTCCAAAATTCAGCTATGGATATACCCTCTTAGCCAGAGAGGTAGTGACTATGAACAGGGAAACCTTGGGACTATATGGTGGCCAGTGTCAAGACCTTCTGGACCATCAATTGGGCTATGTTATGTGGCTTGGCAGCAGGAGGAGCAGCAAGGTGCCAAGCTCCAATATGGAGCAGAACCCTGGGCTTTGCCCTGTGCCATCACCATAAGAGATTCCAATGTTGTGAGCCTTTAGCAATCCTAAGTGTGTTTCTGTCCTAGGGGAGTCTCAGTCTTTAGGGCAATACTATGAGGATGGAAGCTAGAGATGAAGCTAGGACTCAATAGGAAAAGGAAGATAAATCTATTGACCATTTATGGGCTGCTGTGAGTCACTTATGTTGTAGCTTTTTTTTTTCTTGGCAGATGAACTAAAAGTAATCTTGTACTTGGGAGGAAAAAGTGAGTGGGAAGTGAGAAATAGAGGCAACAGTTGTAGGCAATAAAGAGGCTGGGGCCTACAGGTGCAAAATGTTGCATACACCATAAGAATCACTATACATTGGTTTTGCTTTCCTGTTTTTCTTTGTTACAAGGAAAGGAATACATATAAAGACAAAAGTCAGTAATATGATATTTTACTTATAGAGAAATTAATTTGGCTTGCTACATACAAGATGTGCTTGGGGCAAGGAAAGGCTAGAACTGATCTCTCCAGATACCGGGGAAGTTTGGCAGAAATTGCCCAAGACTCTGTGAGAGAGAGAGAGAGAGAGAGAGAGAGAGAGAGAGAGAGAGAGAGAGAGAGAGAGAGAGACACGGAGAGAAACGCAGAGAGAGACAGAGACAGAGAACGCCAATTCTGGGGCCTAATCTATGGTTTCTCCAGCCTAATTTCTAGGAGCTGGTTGCTTTGTGGTGGAGTGGAAAGAGTCCAGCATTAAATAAAATCAGGACACCTGGATTCTAGTCCCTGCCCTGGCACTATTGTTGTGTGATTTTAGGCAAACCCTTTGCCTCTTCTGGGCCTCAGTTTCCTCCTCTGAAAAATGGGGCAAACAGTCGAGATAATATCTAAGGTTCTTTTTGTAATAGGTATAGCATCTGGCTGCAGGGGAGGTTAGGGAGAAGCATCTGGGGTGGGGGTAGGTTCAGGGACCTGGAGGGCTCTCAGAAAAAGAAAGGGATGAAGAGATATAGGCAAGCCGGAATGGGAGAAGTAAGGGCATGGAGAAGTGGCTGGCGGGAGGGTGATTCCTGGGCATCTCCGCAGTAAGCTAACATCATGCAAATGAAATGCAAAACCACATGCAAATCAGATCCAACTATGGTTTGGCACTCGGGGCTGTCCGGGGCGCCTCCCTCAGAAACGGGATGCAGCGCCCCAGTCCCGAGTAGAGGAGCTAACGGCGGCGGGCGGCAGCCCAGAGCTCCGCCTGCTCCCGCCCCCGCAGCACTCCCTCCTTCTCTCTCCCGCCCTCCCACCCCCGGCCATCCCTGGCAGGGTAGCAGAGGGTGCCTGGGCCAGCTGCGCCCCTGTCTCTCCCTTTGCCTGCCGGCAGCCACACTGCGCCTCCTTGTTGACGAATCCGCCAATTGTCCTGGGGCCCCGGGTGTTGCCCCCACCCCCGGCCTTCCTCTCTCCTGTCTGCCGGCCCTGCCCTCCTCCCTCCACCCTCCCCGGCCCTCGGCTCCTCCCCGCCCCCTCTGCCCGCCCGGGGACTGCAGACTGCGCCCAGCCGCCGCGGGGAACGGCAGTCTGGGAGGCACCTCCGGCGGCCCGCCTCGCCGCTGAGGTCTGCTCGCGGCTGCGGCCACCTCTCGGGGCGCTCCTGCTCCCAGCCGCTAGGAAGCCCCCGCCTCCCCGGAATCCCCCCCCTCCCCCAGCCCATACCACCCCCCTCCCCCGCCCGCGGCTCCTGGAAGATGCCCCAGCGGGCACGCACTCCAACAGGAGGGAGCAGCAGCGAACGAGCCAAAAAGCAACAGGTAAGCGGGCTTCCTTCTCCTGCCGCCGCGCCTCCCCCCTCCCCGGCCCAGCCGCCTGGCCCAGTCTAGCCCCCGGCCCCGGCCCTCGAGCTTCCTTCCGGACTCAATGCGGGCCCTGGCAGAAAAGTTAGGCTGACGACTTCCCATCCTACTGGCCTGGGCTGGGGGGACCGAGGACCCCCCTTCTTTTCCCCCCACTGGCGAGCTGTGCGCAGGGCTCTGGGGAGCTCAGAAGCACCCGCACTCCGCAGCCCCCTCTCCATCCCCCCCATCCCGACGGCGGAAGGACTGCGATGGCTGTCTCAGGGTCCTGACGGGGGAATGGGGAGCCCCCTCCAGCAGAGAGGCGGCCGTGGGAGGGGGGGTGGGGGTTATATTACCTCATTATTGCATCAGGTCGTCTGCCCAGGGGACCCAAGGCTGGGCCGTAGTGGGCAACCTGAGCAGGAGGGGTTTTGGGGTGTCGGTGGAGAGTGGTGAACAGGGCCAGCAGGGAGCCGGCACCGCGCTCCCAGTGACTGGCCGAGAAGTTCGGGAGCCCGGGGGGAGGGGACAGAGGGGCAGCGGGAAAGAGGGATTTAGCCCCTGCCCGTCTCTCTGCTTCTCTTTTGGGATGGCTGACCTGGCAACTGCCGGGGATGGGGGGCGAAGGGTCTAGCCATGTGGCCTTAGGAAGGAGCTGATTTCGGGGTACACTCTCCCAGCGCCCCTGTCCTGAGGCCTTGTATCTATGGGCCAGTCGGGTCGCCTACACTGTCCGCCCCGCTCCCTAACACACCCCCCTCCATCATTTCCCCCTTCTCCTCCCCACCCCACCCCCCTGCAGTAGCCAGCGATTGGGCTTCCTGGGACTTAGGCGAGCAAGGAACCGGCCGGCCTGCCGGCGGCGAGCAAGCAAAAACGACACAGGGTCCAAGGGGCAGAAGCCGGCGGGCCGGGCCGCCAGTGGGCCTAGGGCGCCTGGTGACCCGTTGGGCCCAGAGAGTGACGCCGGATAGGTGCATTTCTAGGCCAGGGACAGAAACCTGGGCCCAATACCTGCGTGAGCATGTCCAAGCGTGCATCTTGTGTATGTGCGTGCACTTGTGCATGTGTGTTTACTGCTGTGGATATATGAGTAAGCCCACACGTGCGCTTGTGGGTTTGCTTTTCCGACGGCGGGTCTTCCTGAAGGCTGCGGCCCACAGCAGTTCCTCGGTCAGCCTTGTGTCAGCCGATCCGTGTTGGAGAGCATTTTTGCTGGGGACCGACGCCTCGGCATGGATGGATGTAGTGCTTGTGCGCCCCGCCCCCCAAAGGGACCCGCAAGTGGGTGGTGGTGCTACTGGGGTATGGATCACAAGTTCCTGGACCCCTTGACCCAGGGACCTGCTGGTCCAGATAAAAGAGCCTCGGATGGGGGGTGGGGAGGTGGGGGGGGAGGGGAGCACAGTGTTCCTGCCTCCGTTGAGATGAAATGAAAGGCTGTCTTTGTGCTGTCTCTGTGAGGCCCCAGTGCCCTGGAAGGAGACACCAAAGTCACGAGTGGCTGGGGTGGAGCAGGCCTGAGGCCATTTTAGGCCCCCTTCAACTCAGAACTGGGGAGTAACCAGCTCGAGGTGTTGAAGAGGGATGATCCAGACGGTGCCAGGCTGGCAATGTAAGGACCATGCACCTGGAGGAAGCTAGTGGTGGGCACCATTGCTGTGAGAGAAGAAAAAGAAGCAAGAGAAAGGCTATGGTTTGGGCCCTTACTGCTGCCTTCTTTCCACAGCTAAATGGGAGACTCCACCTTGGCTGCCATTGGCAGTAACTTTTCTTAAAATGTTGAAATGGAAGGGACCAGAAAGACAGTATAGTCCAGGGGATTCAACAGACACTACCTCTATCATGAACTTGGATGGAGAAAAATTACATCTTTGTATCCACTGAGGCCCTTAGCACAGTGCCTGGCCCACAGTAAGCCTTTAACAAGTGCTTCTTGACTTATTGATTTGACACTAACCTTTGATTTCCTTTGTTTTCCCATATATTTCATTACATGCATTTAAAAATATTCTGTGATAAAGTCCACAGTCCTCCCCAGACTGCCAAGGGAGCCCCTGATCAAAAAAAGGTTAAGCACCAGTCTAGTCTAACCCCCTCATTTTTCCAAGAAGGAAACCCAAGGCCCAGAGAAAGGAGCTAACCTGCCCAAGGTCATACCTGGAATGAATAGTAGAGTTTGGGTTAGACCCAGGTCGCTGGACTTTGATTTCAAGATTTGACTTTATCCAGATGGGACCTTTTCCTTCCATTGCTGGAGATCCCAACCTTTTGCAATCCAGGACTCTTGGTGTCCAATAAACCTGTATGAGCTTGCCGTACTAATACAAGTAAATCAAATATCAATTAATTCATTTCTATGGAATAATAGTTATTTGCCAAAAATTGGGAGTATATGTTCCCCAGTTTGGAAACCCCTGCTTTATGGGATGATCTTTTGGCTTCATATTGGGAGAGTGAGGTAAAGAAGGGGAGTCTAGCCTTCAGGACTCTGCTAACTGGCCTTCACTGCCATCCTCCCCAAATCTAGAGATCCCTGACCATTTCCCTAATTTCCTCCCCACCAGGACACTCTGCACCTGGGGTCCCAGAAGGCATCAGAAGAAAAAGGGCTAGGATGTCTCCAAATTAGAGGAGAATTAGAGCTCTGTCCCCTTTCCCTGGACTGAGGCTGGGGTCCTGCTTTGGGGAAACAGCAGGCCAGGCTACAAAACTGTGCTTAGAGCTCCCCCTGCAGGAACTTCGAGGACCTGTCCTTGAGGTCCTTTCCCGGGAACATTGGCAGAGTAGAGACTTGACCCTTTGAATAACTGTGGGATTCCTAGGCTCTAGGAATGAGTGGGTGTCTCCTCACACCCTTCTGCCTCAGAATGAAACGAGCTCTGCTGGTTTTTTTCTGGGTTTGAGTGTGTGTTTGTTTTTGAGGGGAGGAAGGATAGGACCTGGGAACTGTGATTTCATCTGCAGAGAACTCCTGCTATCCGGCATAACTCTAGCCTTGGAGAGGTGCCCAGGGGACACGGAGAGTTTAAGACACTTATCCATGAACATGTAGATAATAGCCAGCTTCCTGTTGGCTAAGACCCTCAAGCTACCCCTACTGCTTGAATGAAGGAGGCTGAAGAAATTCTTCATCCGGCCTTTCCATCTTCAAGGTGAGATGCCAGAAAAGAAAGTTACCTGTTAACCTTTTCACTGACAATCTAAGGCTGTCACATTTATCCTGTCTTTTTCCCTACCCCACGTTTACCAACTGACCTCAAGAAGGAGACCCAAAGTGCCTAGCCTCTAGTTCTTGGACAATCAGTCCAATCCAATTTGATGAGCATTTCTTTATTAATGGACAGGTAGATAACTCAGTGGTAAACTTGGAGTCAGGAAAAGCCGAGTTCAAATCCTGCCTTGGACACTTAGTAGCTGTGGGATGATAGTCAATCAAATAACATCTTTCAACTCTTTTCCTCGTCTATAAAATGGGGCTGATAAAACCACCTGCCTCCTAGGGTACATGGATAAAAATGAGATAATATGTAAAAGACTTTGTGAATGATAGCTACTATTCAAAGTGCCTGCTACGTGTAAGGCACTGAGCATATTAAGACAAAATGGAAGAGGGAGGCAGGTCTCAGCCCTCAAGGAACTTGTATGCTCCTTGGGGGATACGACATGTAAGTAGAGAAGTACAGATATGATGGTTTGAACAGGGAGCCAGGCCTAAAGAGATAGGACTTCCCAGAGGAGGCAGCCTTGCAGTACCCGAGCTGAGCCTTGAACAAAGCTGGGGATGGAAAAAGGAGGGGGAGTGCATTCCAGATTGGGGAAAGGGCAGCCTAAACAGTATTAGGGAGTGCTGAACGTTCAGGGGAACAGCAAATAGACACCCCTTTGTCAAGAATTTAAAGGGAAGGAATGTCCACTAAGCTCCCTGAAGAAATCTAGTGCTCTCCTGCCTCCAAATGCACACCTCTTCAGAAGTATGGGTAGTGAGTGGTGGAGCAAGTAGGGGCAGGTGCTCTTTAGGGGATGGATGGGAGAGTTCTTGGTACTGTTCTTCCCTTTCCTCTGTTTGGGGGTCAGAAAAGAGCCTTCGAAGTTATCAGGGAATTCTATGAGATTCACTTAGGAATGCTCCCTTCTCTTCCCCACACTCTCAAGGGGTGAAGTGCGCACAATCTGAAGCAGACTCTTTCCCTTTAGGGAAAATGGTAGCTCACCCACCCCTGGTCCCCTTCCTCAACTTAAGCTGATAGCTCCTGAAGAAGCTAGGTGGCTCAGGGGAGCTGGGCCAGGCCTGGTTCAGAGCGTGGGGTGAAGTGGGGGATGGAGAATGACAGGGACAGGAAGGAAGGATGCACCTAGGGAGGTAAATACCCATTGTGGCCTACTAGAAGGGAAAGGTGGCGTTCCAAATCCTTGGCCCTTTGCCCATTGCAAGGACATGCCAAATTGTTTGATATGGAGGTGGTTATTTAACAGGTTGGGCTGACTCTGCCTCTATTCCCTGAGCTCCCCCTCCCCTGAGGGAAACCCTAGCTTTACAAGCTCTTTAGTAGGAAGGGGGATTCCCAGAGAGACCAGGTTAATTAGGTGCTACAGAGTTGAAACTCTTGAAGGCTCCTTGGCTGGGGGCCTACTTGGTTCCTATTCTGCAGTCCATGGATACAGGGCCTGAACATGCAGGGAGGAAGAGGAGCACTTCTCCCACTCATCCTCCACAATCCTTCCCTGTCCCTCTTATCGCTTTAGAGCAGACTCACCCATTTCTGTAGGCCTGGCCAGCATTAACCTTTGCCCTAAAATAATTTGACCTCTCTTTAGAGAGTGGAGGAGGTCATCTGAGCTTCCAGCTTGAGGGTGGGCTCAGTGAGATGAAGGTTAGGGGAGACCCTCCCCCCAAGGAGTTGTAGAAAGAATTTAAGCAGGTGGGAGATCCGCATCACTCAGTTAGATCATAGGATCCTGACTCTGGATCTGGA